AAGTTCCAACCACATCCACGCCTATGTCCACGTCCGCGACCTCGACCACGACTTCTTCCGTATCGGCTTCTCTCGTTGTCGAAGCTTTCTTCTTTCTTCTTTGGCTGAACATGCGTCTTAAGAAGCTGCTCATCATTCCCTTGCCTCTTCTTATGTTTCTCTTCATATGCTTGTAGCGAACCCATTAATTGCTCTATACTAATTTCTTCCAAGTTTTTAGTTTCTTCAATCGTCACGACAATGTGCTCGAACTTGGGGTCCAACGAGCGTAGTATCTTCTCCATAATTCTAACATCTTCTAACTTTTCTCCGTTTCTTTTTAATTGATTGGAAATGGCTAAGACTCTTGAGAAATAATCAGAGATTGATTCAGACCCTTTCATTTGTAGAGATTCGAACTCACCTCTTAATACTTGAAGACGAACCTTTTTCACTTGTTCGGCTCCTTTGTAAGAGGTTTGAAGCTTCTCCCATGCTTGCTTGGCAGAGGTTGCACTCGAGACCTTCTCAAAGCCATTGTCATCTAATGCTTGGTAGATGAGGTAGAGAGCCTTCTTGTCTCTCTTTCTTGAATCTTTCAAACTCTCCTTCTGGGGTTGAGACAGAGTAGCTTCATCTTCTGGCTCAGTGTAGCCTTTCTCCACGACTTCCCAGACATCGTGTGCACCCAAAAGGGCCTTCATTTTGATACTCCAATTATCGAAGTTGTTGCTGTCGAGCACTGGAACTTGGAAGGCTGCCATAGCATTGCTAGCCATAGCTCTGGTACCACTTTGTTGGGGGTTTAAAAATGCTTCACTACTTGGAGAGGTTTATCTCACAAAGAAAAATGTAACGCAGCGGAATTGATAGGCAAGAGAAAGAAAGAATTCTCAAAGTATTACACAAAGGTTTTATTCACTCACAAACTTAGTACAAGAGGAAACACTCAAACACTCTTAGAAGCTTTGTTGCTTCTTCTTACTTCTTACTTGACACTCTCACTTCTTGCTACTTGCTCTCTTGGTTGTTACAAATGGTGTGGATGCCTTCTCCTTTTATAGGCATGGATGAAACCTTGGAGAAGCATGAAAACATCATGCTAGAGATATCTAGATAATTCCACTACCTTCCTAAGCTAGAATTATCTACACTAATCTTGTATGTTGGTGGAATCCTCACCATTCTTCTAGACTCTTCCACCAACTTGAACTTTGCTAGAATTCTCTAGCATGTGCATGAATTTTTCTTTGTGTATGGGCCGGATCAATTATCTTTGGGCCAAGACAAGATTACAATTCAACAGAGACTACATGTGTTATCTTGTTCTGCTATATAACATTCAAAGAATATGACCAAGAAAAATAGGTTATTGATTAACAAATCAACTTGCATTGGACCTACCTAGCTACTGTTATCTCGCTTGAACTACCTAGCTTCACAGACATCTTCTTCAGCCCTAAGAGAAACATTTCTGTTCTCTGCTGTAACCATCAGTTTGAATGCTTTTCAGATTTCAGATATTCGAAAAGAAAATCACGTAAATAACCAGACCAAGCTTACTCATATGCACATTTAGAACACAAGAGGAACTGAAACCCACTTGAGGACAGGGTTGCAACTGAAATAAAAGAAGCTGGAGGCACAATTAAACAAAATTTCCTCTTTCATAACAAATACTGAAGCTCCAACAACTCGCCTGAGCTTTAACTGCATCTAAGCAAGTAACATTAACCTTCAAATGGCTTTTAAGAACATAAATCACATCAAAATCCAAACAAGAAAAAAAATTAAAAGGTATAAAATTTATAGTAAAAACGAAGTCAAAGACTGCAGCTATTTTACTCCATTGACATCAAGATGGAGCAAATGGGCACCCAGAAAATAAGAGCACAATTGCATGTTGCAAGGAAAGGGACATAGTCCCCACTTTTCAGGGGCGTGCCTCTGGCTTAGCTATGAAGTTACGCAAGTGGCCACTAAAAAATTGAAAAAAAAAAAAAAAAATCCAATCTTCATTTTCTATATGATTGAGAAGCGGAGATGTTTAACAAGCACCACGAACAAAACAAACTGCAAAGCTTCACTTTTATTTCGCAAGTCTTCATAGTACCATCCGCGTACCAAAAATCAGATAACCTTTTTAGGCTTCTGCAATCTCTATTTCCCCCTCCAGTAGTTCCTTAACTGCTCTTATAAGACCCTTTGTAATCCCATTGAGATGCAACCCGTTATCCTTCATTTCTTCAAGCAATTTCTCTGCTGTTCCCCAATCCAAAGCCTTAAGACTGAGAGATTGGATCAACTTATTGTACTCATCAACATTAGGTTGGACCCCAAAATGTTTCATCTCACCCAACAACCTTAAACCTTCGTCAAAATCTTCCAGTCTGCAAAATCCACGGATAATTGTATGATAAGTCACAGGATTCAGTTTAGGATGCTTCTTTTTCGCTTGGGATAATATTTTACAAGCCTCCTCCATCAGACCCCCATTTGCATAACCACTCATATTAACAGTGTAAGTATACACTTCTGGTTTCAACCCCCTACTCTCCATTAGCTTCATCATCTTCATTGCCTCTCCCGTATTCCCAGCCTTAGAATAGCCATTGATAACCAATTGAAAACTGCATTTCCTGGATGTGGGCCCTCCCTTGTCATCTCAAGAAGCAATTTTTTGGCCCCATCTAGTCATCATCATCTTTTTTCCTGCACAATCCTTGAACAACAGCTGAAAACGGCTTAATCCCATATTTCCGTGCTTCTCCAGATAAATCACCCAATATCTCTAGAGCTAAATTGACAGTTTCATCCTCCTTACAGAGTGAACTGATCAAAAGATTTACTGGTGAGCGTGGCAGGTTCTGCTTCTTCACCTTCATTGACGAATAAACCAAATGGGCATCTTTAGGTTTTTTGCCATTGCAAAACCAAGATACGATCCTACCGACTCTCTCACCATCAGGCAAGACTCCTGCATCAAGCATCTTCTCACAAACAGCTAAATTTATGTTATTATAGCTAGCTAAATGATTCAAATGTTAATTTGGATAGCCACCACTTCTAACAAGTTAAAACATTTTAATATTAATTTTTTCCTAAACTTAACAACGGAAGCCATTTTTCTTCTCTTGAAGCCCACACAATGAAATTTATATTTTTTTAATGTTTAGTAAAAAATTTGCTTTCTTTCTCCTCCTAGCTAATATAGCTAGTTACTATTCACAAAGTTAAGATAACTAGTCGTTTAACTAGCCTGTTAGAGTTTTTTTAATTTTTAATTTTTAATTTTTTTTATATTTTTTTAATTTTTATTTTTTTTGCACTTTATGTTAGCCAAAAAGTCTCATTTAGCTAGGTTATTGGAGACACTCTAAGCCGTTATTTTACGCTATATTAAGTAAAATACACATAAAGAAATAACATTATGCATGTATATCGACAATTTACCCGACTAAGGCCCTATTTGATATTGTTTTTTTTTTCCCTGCTAAAAATGGCTTCCTTTAAAGTTAAGCAATACAAAAATATGTTTGGTAAAAATAAAATATCCTACTTATTTTAAAAGCAATGACCTCAAACAACAGCTTTTAAAAGCAGCATGTGGGTTACTTTTAAAAGCTGCTTTAATAAAAACGGAGCTGAATCTTTAATGAATATTTTTAATTTCTATAATACCCTTATTAGTTTTTAAAATTCACATTGTTAACGTTCTATACTCACTTTATTTCTTGGTGAATAAAGTGATCAATTGTCACTACCCGCTACTACAAACACTAATCTTATACCACCACTGCCATTACCATCACCGTTACCACCACCGCCACCATCACCACCATAACCACAATCGCTACAACTGTTAATCGTCACTACTGTCACCCTCTCACCATTGTTACCTCTACACCCCAATATTGGCACCACAACCATACCCCCACCATTGTCGCTGCCATCAACACTGTTGCCACCACCACCACCATTGCCCTTGCCACGCCACCACCCCCACTACCATGTCCATTTGTTTCATTGTACAAATTGTATCACTTTTACATCAAAATTTAACAAAGGCTTTTACACTGTTTTTACACTCACATTGTTTTAAAAAATACAGTGTATCAAACACTCAACTACTTTATTGTACATCTATTTATTCTTAAAGCACAACATAAGCAGTTTTTGAAATAGTGTAACAATCCCAAACTTGCCCTAGATGTGGTGAATGTAGACATTAATTTAATTGGTATAGGAATTTTATGCAGATGCTTGAAATGAATTTAGCTTCAGACTTCTCATTTCAAACATACAAACCATTTCAGGCATCTGCACAATTTTTTCAAACCAATTTTGAATCAACTATACTCCACCTTATACAAAACTTCTTAATTTTTCAATTCAAGTTGCACATTTTTAGTCTCTCTCTCTTACACTTCAGTCCACCCTTGCATAAACCCTAGTCGACTCTCACTGTTTATTAGAAAGATTTAGCATAAATTCAATCATTGGACGACTTTCGAAATTTGAAAAAACATCGATCTATATTTTAATTAAGGACTTAATGCACAACATGTTATGGTTTTTTTCGCTACATTGTTAAGGATGAAAGAGAGGATTTTTTTTATTATAATTTTTGTTGGTTTTTATGTTGGCCCCCGCTGTGTGCTTTCATTAAGATTTTGATAATTTATTTTTATCTCCTGAGCACCGAGTGACTGAGAATATGTTATTCTCAGGTCGGTCAAAGGGCTTCCAATTGGTTTCCAGTACCACTGACCTGCTCCTGGATCATTCTTGTGGTCTATTGGGAATTATACAATGCACCTGGAAGTTGGGATCTTATCTGTAATCTCTTTAAGGTAAAGAAAACGCATTTTCCATATTTGACGACGACATCCAATTGTGATTTCAAAACCCTAATACCAGCAGCAGCATGAGCCCCTGGATTTGAAATGCGCCCATCGTTTGCACCCTCCTCTCCACCTATAAAACTGACCATATTGACACCCTCATTACTCATTACTCATTACTCATTAGGTTTTAGGGTTTCAGAAAGAGAGAGATGAAAGTTTGTGAGGCATCTGAAAGCCAACATGAAGAGGATGACGGTGCTCGTAGGGTTTTAACATATCGCATCCATGATTTACCAGATCAGGTAGATTTATTTTTTATTAAAATTTGACCTTCATCTTAATTTTTCGACAAACCTTTGATAAATTAGCAAATTAGCCTTTGAGGATATAGGATTCATATATATATATATATATATATATATTAATTAAAACTTTGATCAGCTGCATATGTTAATTTCATCTACGTGATTTTATGTTTTTGGAATTACAGATGAAAATCTCGAAGAGCGTGGTCTGATCAACAGACACCATTGTTTGGGGTCTCAGTTGAACCGCTGAACCACCCTTCAGGAATCCGGTACTGCAAAATCTCTTCTGCTGTTTGGGAGAATGGCACCGGTGACAAAGAGGCTCGTAGAGTGAAAGCCGTCAAGACTGAAGTGCAAGCGCATGCTCTGAATGGCGGACTGTGACTCCAGGAGACTCTGCTGAGTTCTGATCCAATCATCGGATAACAACAACATCGCATTCACGAGACAATCTCAGTTAAAGAGAAAGATCAGAAGCAAACATCTCAAAAGGAGGACATTGTTTATATCTAGTTGAAAACATTGTTCAATTATAAATATAGGCTATAGTTTAGTTAAGACGATTAGTTATTCATGAGCTCTAATTCTGTGATTGTAAACCTGATAATGGATCACTGAAAGGAAAATTTTCTCCATGCACATTGTTCTCTTTTTTGTTTGAAAGTTTGAAACAATTATGTACCTCTCGTAAGATCTGTCTATACCATTTCTCCTTTCTCGCAGAATAGACGGACTGAGAACAAACTTGATGAGTGAAGATCTGTATGAACTTTGAACAAATTTCTGCTGTGGTGTTAACAGAGAGAGCAAAGACTTCTTCATGGTAAGTAAGATGTCGCGTCTACTTTTAGTCGGTGTGTATTAATCCAAAATATATTTTGAATTGTGACTGTTACCAGCTTGGTTAGTCTTAATCTGAACCAAGCTGCTGGTCCACAACTCTTAATTCATTTGCAAGTCCTATGTTATTTAGAAGTTTAAAGTAGAAAAGATACATACAAGACATATATAAGCTTTCTGTGTATTTTGGCATTACGTACCCTCCCTTCATCTAACAGTAATGAATCAATGTCCTTGCTTGTCTGCCTAAGATTTGACATGTATATGGATGTCTAATTTTTATGTCATTATATGTTACTAAGGTTGGGTGTTTCATTGTTGGTTTGATTTCTTACGATACATGCATGGCAATAGTGTTGCTTAAATATTCGCGGTCTGCGTGCTGTATTTAAAATACCTTTTTTGTTTTAGCGTTTTAGTATACCTCCCACGTGAACACAACAGTTATATTCATTTGGCCCTGGATGTATTTCCTTTTGCAACAAGAGTTATTTAATATTCTCCGCCAAGTTATTGATCAATATGAGTTACATATATGAATATGCTTGACATGGTATGTGTAGCCAATGGAGCAATCTTCTATCCCACCTTAAACAGTGGTAAATTCACTAATTTATTGATCTGGTGTTGATAATTATGCGAGTAAGTTGGAGACGTTTCTCATTGCGATTGGTAGTGGAATAGAGATTAGTTAGGTGCATTTTGTTAAGCAATTGTTAATTCTCATTGTATTTCTAGATGGTGATATATGATGAGAATTGTGGCACAATATTCTTTTTGGAAGTTTATACCTTACGTCTTGCAACTCAGTGCACTGGTTTAAGAGAATTAACAGGGAAGTGTTTTTTGCTCTTAGCTTCTGACCAAATCCTAACTTGGGAGTTGTCTCTGCTACATAAAAGAAAGAATCACATCGAGGAATTTGCAAAACTAATAATGAATCAACAAAAGGACATTTTTTTTCTTCATGCACATTGTACGTCATTTTTGTTTGAAACAATCACTTACAGAGCTTCTTGTTCCTACTCATAAGATCTGTCAAACTCTTTCTCGTTTCTTCCAGTGTAGACCAACTTCGGGTGAACTGGATAATTAAAAATCTGAACCAATTATCTCCTGTTGGACTAAACAAACAGAAAGCCTCGGTCATTTTAAGGTCATTGTAAGTATAATGTCGCTTCTACTTTAATCGCTGTGTATTTATCCAAAGTGTACATGGAATTGTGACTGTTACCAGCTAGAATTTGGTCTTAATCTGAATCAAATGGATGATCGCTCAAGCTCTCTATTCATTTGCAAGTCCTATGTGCTTTAGAACCTCAAAGTGTGGATGCAAAATCTGCCTAGGACTTGACTTGTATGGATGTCTTTCATTGTTGGTTTGATTTCTTAGGACAGCATTAAAACAGTCTTGTTTTAATATCAAAGGAAAACTAATGAAAATAGTTTGAAAACTTTGAGTTTTAATGATAATGACAAAATAAAAGGTAAAATGAATAGTACTAGGATTGACTTTTTAGTGTAAAAATGTGATTTTTCGTTAAAATGAACAGTACTGTGAGCTTTTCGTTAAAACTCCCTAATATCAACAAGAGAAAGGAATTTAATGACTGCGTGCTGTAATTCCTGCATGACAATGCATTGAGCATTAGTGCAACCTGTATTTCCTTTTCCAATGAGAGTTATTTAACATTTTCCATTAAGATTTGTTACATAATGTTTTAAAAAAAACTAGTATTGACACTAGCTTAGGCAGTTTTTTGGACGGGGCTATCAAAGAAAAAACCTTTGCCTAGTGAAAATGGGCTATAGACTAGCCTAGGGGTTTGAATTATTAATTTTTTTTTTTTCAAAGAACAGCCCAAACCCAAACAACATCATTTTGGGCAGAGGTCTTATCAAATTCATGTTTATTTTTTGTTTCTAACTAAGTTCTATTAGTTGTTTTGGTAGCGTTCAAAAAAAAAAAAAAAAAAAAAAACTAAGTTCTATTAGTTTAGTGTGACTTTATGATGTGAATTAGAGAGATAATAATAGTCAAATATTTGATTGCTTGGCATGCCAGCTTGATTGTTCTACAAAAGTATTATATATGATCTATTATAATAAATTTAGATACCGTAAGACTATCGCCTAAGTGAGGCTATCCATGAAACGCCTTGACTTCACCTTTGCCCTTTAAAACATTGGTTACGTATATTTTTCTTCGTACAAACGATATTCTACTATAGGAAGAGTTTCCGTTATTTACTGAACTTGATTTTGATTGCTCTAGAATATAATTTGGCTTTGCTGGGATGAATCTAGTCTTTCAAGTGACACGACGGAACATTTGGAAGTTTGAATCTTAGTTGATAAACGTGTCGTCTTGTGTTGGTTGAACATCAACATCAGCAGCAAAGTTTGAATACGCTTTCTTGTTGGTCCACAGATCTTAACTGGCAAGATAATGATGCCCTGACCAAATTGCTTTAACTGAGGAGCTCTTGAACAATTATTTATGGTCTGGGAGTTTAGGCATCGCAAATTATCGAGCACAAATATCCCGAGGAAATCGACTAACGATGTCAGAATACCTTCCTGAAGAAATTATCATCCAAATTCTTCTTAGGCTTCCCGTCAAACCTTTGATTCAGTTCACCTGTGTCTGCAGATCTTGGAACTCCATCATTAAACACACTAGCTTCATCAACAGACACCTCAACGTTAACCAAAACAAAACCAGCAATAATACCCCTTCCATCCTCCTCAGGCACTGCCCCCTCAAGGACCCCACAGTTGAGCAGTATTCTCTACATTTAGACGATGACTCCTTCCTGGAACACTCAAAGCCACAGCTTCCAGTTCAGAGCTTCAACGAGTGTTTCCGAGTTGTGGGCTCCTGCAACGGATTACTTCTCCTCTCCGACGATTACCTTACAGAAACCAACACTTTTATTCTATGGAACCCCTCAATAAGGAAGTTCGTCTCACTTGCAAAGCCTCATGCACCAACCTCCTCATGTTATTCTATTTGCGGGTTCGGCTTTGATTCGAAGAAAAATGACTACAAGGTAGTGAAACTGGTGTATCTCCGCCAAGATGATCAAGGCCAAGCTTGCCCTGAAATTGGGCTTTATTCACTAAATTCAGGGTCTTGGACAACCATCACAGCAACTGCTCCTAATTACGTCATCGCTCAGACATTTTGGTCTCAAGTTTTTGTTCATGGAGCTGTGCATTGGATTGCGTCTCGTCGAAAAGAAAATGGACTCCGCAATGTAATTTTGTCATTTGATGTGAGTGATGAGACTTTTAAAGAGATCGAGTTGCCAGAAGATTTAGCTTGTGTGTTACCGACCAAGTACATGGCCATTTCAGCTGCTGGAAAGTCTATTGCTGTGAAGAACTATGATCAAAACATACATAGTGTTTGGATTATGAGAGAGTATGGGGTGGTGGATTCATGGACAAAGAAATTCTCCATTGATACACATGTCATCCCGAATTTCCGAGTTGTACAGATTATGGGGTGCAGGAAGAATGGCGAGTTTCTGTTAGAAATGTATGACCATGGAAGGAAGACTGGAGAGTTGGTCTCTCATGATCCTGAGAACAACAGAAATGAATTTCTAGGAATTCATACAGATCCAGGGTATTCATGTATTGAATATTACACGGAGAGCCTAGCTTTACTCGATAGAGCAAGCGAGGTGATGCACATTCCATGAAAGAGGAAGAAAACGAAGAATCGTTGAAAAGTAGCTAGGTGCCATAGCTTTCATTTTTTGTTTCGTGATATATTATACTGTATAAATCCTCATAGAATTAGGGTATCTTTGTATGTGTTTGTCTCTCGATGATGAGATCGAGCTTCTGCTCCACTACGGTGGTAGAGTTTTCATCTGTCTACATGTGAGTTTAAGAAGGGGGAAGATCAGGGAAAGTTATCTTTGTGCTTGCTTTGCTAGCATATATATATATATGGATTTTTGAGAGTGAACTCTCTGGCAGCACGATTGTTAAACGAAGGTCTGACTCAATTGTCGAAGATACAAATGTAGAGAAATTTCTATCACCACCTCTAGGATATACAAAATTGTACAATGAGGGGGCCAACCTGTTTTTGTTTCGCACAAACTAAACTTCGAAAATAATGTTTTCAAGCGTCTTCTTCTTTCTCTTCCTGAAGTCCCCGAGCACTCTCTCCCTCTCCATTGGTGTGGCAGATATTACCCACTTGCTAAATTCAAGCTCTCCCAAACCCATGAACTTAGAAAGGCGGCTGTACTGGATCCTTTTCTGATCCATGGATGAAGGAAAATTTTCCTTCCCACCGATACCATCTAGTTTCTTCTTCCGCGAGACATGAATGCCTGGGTCCACGAGGCTACCATTCTGAGGGATGGTCATTTCTGTCGTCCCTTGAGTTCCAGGTCCATAATTCACAATGTCTTCATTACGATGTGCATACACGATACCTGAGGAGTAAAAGACACTTTCAGTTGCTACAGCCTACATCTGCCAAACCAAATATCCTCAGAACAGGAAAATGAAAAGAAAGCACAATGATATGAAAAATGCGAAAAAAGTGCAACACAAGAACAAAAGTCCAATTTAAATATCAAACTTACCGACTTCTTTGAGCACAGGTTGACTTGTTAAACGCTTCTCAGAATCACTGGTTGATCTGGCCTCAGACACTGATGACGAGGCGACATCCACTTCTTTTAATGAAACATGATCGCTACCAACTTTGGTTGATTCTTGTTTTGTCCTATACAATTCTTTTTGCGTTTGCTTCTCATTCAACTCGAAGATTTCGCTGGTAAAGAGCTTATCTGAAAGGTCACGAAATAAATTGCAGATTCCGAAAAGTTCCCCTTGAAATTCTTTGCAATCCTGAAAGTAAGTCAATGCTACAAATATATTGTAATTGAATGCCAATAGAAAAGTTCCCGAACTAACCAAAAGCAAAAAGAGATTGGTTTCTATACCTGGACACCTTCAAAATATCTTTTCTCCATTTTTCCAGAAACAGCAATGTTGGATAGCTGCTGTTTGTACACCTGACGCGAATAAACAAGCTCATCAAGGGAACCAGCAGAAAGAAAGCGGAAAACCACAACATGTCTCTTCTGTCCGAAACGAAATGACCGGTCCTGGGCCTGTAAGTCTTGGGCAGGGTTCCAGCTTGGATCAAATATTACCACACGATTTGCGCTGACCAGATTCAACCCAAGCCCACCAGCTCGAGTTGATATAAGGAACACCTAAAGCAATAAATGAATGTCAAACAGAAGTTTAAACGCAAACTTCTCCGTTCATATGAATTTGAAACATACCTGTTTGCTAGGACTTGAATTAAAGTCATCAACAAGAGACTGACGCAAGTTGGTTGGTGTTGAACCATCAAGTCTTGAGAAGCAATAGCCTTTGCGTATGAGAAACTTTTCCAGTATGTCCAGCATCCTGGAAGAAGTAATTCTAGTTCAAAAATAATAATTATCCAGATTGATATCCAAAAGGAGAAATGCAAGCACGGACATTTGCCCAAGAAAATATTCATTAAAAGAACGTTGACTATATAATCCATTTATTTAAAAATAAGAATGCAGAAAGTAGATCAGGTTAAACACTTTCTCTTTCTGAGAAAGAAAGACATGTACTGGACAATTAAAACATTGACAATTGACCAATGTATTAAATACCCTAAACAATGCACATGGTTCCTGTGTTAAACAGAAACTTTATAAAATTACTTACCATCTTTAAAGCCCAAAAGAAGACAATTATTATGAAAAATAGAAAGAAAAAAAAAAACAACTTGAGTGCCTAACCAGTAAGGTTCTCAAGTCACCTGACAGAGTAACTGAACAAAAGAACTTTGTCACCCCGTGAAATCCATGAGAACAAGAACTTTTCAAGTGCTCGCATTTTGCCACAATGTTTAACATCACTCAGGCCCATAAAACTCTCATTCTGGGTGTTCCCTCCCACCAATTCAGCATCTTCGCCAAACACAGCGGTGGCAAACTCTGCATCTTTCTTTTGCTTATCTGGGTCATCCTTTGGATTAGGCTTAATCAGCTCCAAGTGATTACTTATCTGTAATGCACAACAGTACCATAAAACTAGGAAAAGTAATGCGATAAACAGTCACCAGGCATACATTACGGACAAATCAATCCACAGTTCTCACCATAAAAGTAAAACATGCCCTATAAAATACAAAAATCCATCACCCCTCTCACATTATCATTCTAACATATATCTTTTTTTTTTTCCCCACTTTTTGAACATTTTTCACTTGAGCACAGTTTTCTAAAATTCTTAATGCTGATGTTAAGCACATGCAGGGCTCTATAACAGAGCAGTGTTGATTTAACAGCCACCAAGGAGATCAATGTCTCAAGGTGCCAGAAATTCAAGAGAAGCCAGCCTCATGTCTTATGTTTATCTTGTGTATGTAAATGTGCACCCTACACATGCTAGACACACAAGGTTCAATTCTTTAAAACAAATAAGAACAACGACAGTTCAATAGCGTAAGAGAGGGTTTTGTTTATCAAGTGGAAACACTATAAAACGTTAAACCAGAGGTCCGTCTAAAGAAAACTCGAGAGTAAACAATAAAATAAATAGAAAAATTGCATATGGATGGACAAGCACAAACAGAAAATTCAATACGAAAAGCACCAGAGGAATCTAAAAAAACGCTACTTCCTAGTTCATTCAATAGGAAGAGAGTAATCTTACTAAACTGTTTAGAATGTAACAGAAATTTTGTAGCCCTTCATGGTTAATAGTTTAATTTCCTTCAATATCAAGTAATCCAGCAACAAAACTATCCACTACAATGTCATAGATTCCTAATGCACTTGAAACAATAGACAACCAATCTATTTTTCCATTAAATGATTAACGAGAAACAGATCATTGGAAGAATCTGAGACTTGAGACTTCCAAATAAAGTCAATGACCTTTTGTTATCGTATAAATAACGCACAGAAAGTGAAAATACCGAAAACACACAGCACAGAAAAATATAATAACTTGGACTTTAAGTTGATTTTCAAAATTTCAAGACAATTGATGCCTTTCTTTACAGTTATTTGTTTTCTCATTCATATTATTCAATCCCATATTAAAGAAATACGATTAGGAAAAAAACTGAAACAATCCTGTGAGCGTTGCCTCTGCACCTTAAACAGTTAAACTCATGCTCAAAAAACTATAACTTGAATAGTTACAACTTATAAATGTGAAAAAAACTTCTGAAACCAAAGACTTCAGTCCTAATAAAAAGAGAGTTAAGGTGAAATAATCAAAGTACTAAGGGCTTAAAAACTAAAAATCTCATTTACCTGTTGGAGCTTGACAAGGCAAGGAAGGACAATGCAGAAGGGGCATGAATCACAACCGTCAGGGTTATCCGTGTGAAAGTATGGCCAAAGCTTTCCATGCGGGATAGTCCTTTTACAGCACTCAGCTTGAGTAAGAGGGCTTCCACAACTACATGGGTTGTCCTTATTTATTAGGCAATGGATATCCGGTAGCTGTAACATTCTCCTATACACCCGTTTTTGCAATTCACTCATAGCACAGAATATGACATTATCTTCCTTCCCCATCATAAGATGCCCAATAGTTTCCTCTTTTGTCCTTCTTAACATATATTTATGAAGAACTGCCGCTAGGTGTTGTTTTCGCTTATCAGCAACACGAACAAATCTTTCAGGGGCAGTTGACCTTTGGCCATGCTTGAGGGGTTCATCATAAAACTCGCGAAAATGTTCACGTGTTCCCAAGGATCCAGGTGCAACCCAGTCAAAGAGATTAAAAAGTTCCATGATTTTGTTCTGCATTATGGTTCCAGTGAGACCAATACGCTTTAAGGTTTTAAATTCTAAACATGCTATATAGAGCTTTGATTTTTCATTTTTAAGCCGATGTGCTTCATCAACAATCACGATCTCCCAATTCACCTCTGACAACTGGCTGCCACATATTCTGTAAGTGTCAAAGCTTGTGATAAGTATCTCAACTTCATGTGATCCTAATTTATCATAAATCAAATCACGATTTGCACCATGGTAAACAGCAACACTAAAGTTAGACCACTTAGAGAATTCATTCTCCCAATTGTGAATAACTGAAGTAGGGCAAACTATGAGAACAGGGGCTCTTTCAGCTGTTTGGTATTTATTCAGTACTGTGGAGTCAATGCAATCCCCATCTTTCCCAAACACAGCAGCCAAGAATGCAATTGTTTGGATGGTTTTTCCTAGTCCCCTGTCCAACGTGTTAGAGAAATCAAGAACTTGCCAACTAGCAACTTGAATGTACAAGTTCTGAGTTGCTAGAGATCAAACACAAATGCATATATGTGTTCATATCTAATGTTATCCTTAGTCAGATATATAGTACGTCAGATTGTCAGATATATAGTACGTCAGATTGCCAATCTATATTACAGTGGACTGTCTAGCAAAAACAAAAACATCCTTTGAAAAAAAAAAAGGCATTTTACCATATAAAATAACTGCAAAACACAAGGAAATGTTTTAATGGGCACTTTACAATACAGCAACATAAGGAAATCAAAGAAACATTCACATTTCAAATGGGTAAAATCATCCCTATGATAATGGGCACTTTACAATACAGCAACGTAAGGACATCAAAGAAACATTCACATTTCAAATCGGTAAAAATCATCCCTATGATAATGCAAAGTCAAGATCTTGACCAAATAATTATAGTCCCAATCAACATGCGTTCTCAAGAGTAACCACACATGCACTGGGCACACTATCAAATTGACAATGGAAAGAGGAAGAAAAACTAACTTTTGGCATTTTCTTTCTCCATGTTAAAATATAATTCCAACGAGAGTGGCAGCTACCAGCTGTTTTAAAGAGAAAAATTCCACTACGAAAATTAGTCCTAGAGCCCCTTTCCATGTTAGGTATATTCTTAAGTTAAAAGAAACTCATGTATCTTTGGTTCATAGTCTGGGTCTGAGAGAACAAGTGCTTCGTCTACAGTTTGGAAAATGCATAGTAAAATCTGCCGGTGATATGTCCCCAAAACCAAACATTCATTTTTCACTAATCAATTACAACATTGAATGAAATGGATAAAGCTCAAAATTAAATTACATTACAATTAAATAAAAAACTAAAAACAATGAAAATGCAAGAGTCCAGAGGACACAACTAAAAGTACAAGGTCAGAACTTTAAGAACTATATAAGATGAAAGTTCACCAGTACTACTTACATGTCGTCACCAAGAATACCTCCATGATTGTTCTTGTACAGAGTATACAGAAACTTCACTCCCTCTCTCTGATGTTCAAGCAACCTGCAGTTAACGGATGCAGGAACCTGAAACGGGAAAATGAAGTGATAATGGTAACTATACAAAAAGAGTCCAACAAATTTATATCTCATACATGCAAACCATTCATATTGTAAAGACCCAAAAGCTATACTTATGGAACTTCAACTATTTCATGAAGATGTAAACCAGTGATTTATACTTTTCTACAGATCCCTTATAGACAAGAAAACTACAAGATAGGAATACAGTTGTGTCAGGCAGTTAATGTCTCAACAAAGTGACCAATAAGAATCCATAAGATAACAAATCATATAGGAAAAGCCTAATTATTTCTTTTGCATTCCACCACACTTCATTACTGTTTTCCTTTCCATTTCATTCACTTTAAAACTTCCAAACCTTACTTTAGCCGGTAACGCTAAATAATGAACTCATTACTCTGTCCGTTGCACAACTTTGGAACTAAGAAGGAAATGGTCTAATAACAATTGCACTTGGAATAAAAGCCAATGTTAGATTTTTCCTAATTACTAGTTAACTAAAATTCTCTTTGACCAATAATAGCCACCATAGGCTCCACTAATTTGGCCAAATCACATACATAATATCCAGGTTTATCAAGCACTTCCATGGTCCCTGAAGTCATATTACTATTCGAACTCCCAATTATGAACCTAACTGTTACGATCACATATTTACTTAAGTTGTAAGGAGCAAACACTGACCGGAAACTTTTGTGTGGCGCGTGTGAATATATAACGATTGAATTGTGAATTTGTGAGACAATGCAAACAGAAAGAATGTACCTTTACGTTCCATACACCAAGCAGATACATTTATGCAAACTAAACTAAATAATGATCATCGTAAATTAAAAACCAAAATTACCGCGAAAACGCAACACATATGCATAAATTTGAAACAATTATGAAAGGCAAAACAAAGTTTAATTACCTGTACAAGCGGAAATTCTCCCTCACAGGACAAGACCAAGGGCTCATATGGTCCTGTGTGATCAAACTCAAAGAAACCCACTTTAGGGCTCCCACAGGCCACTGGTTCTGGGTCGTCTTCTTCTTCTTCATCAACCTCATCCTCACTACCATTCTGGTCCTGGATTTGTTTGGTTTGAATTGGCGGCAGAGACAATGGGTCTTGCAGTCTCAGAAGCTGCTGAGACAGAGACGATTTGGGGGGACGTCTTGGGATTGTAGGTTCTTCTACGGGTTGGGAGATTGAGGATTGTGATTGGGTTGTTAAGGGTGATGAGTTTCTGCAGGGTTTAAGGGCTTCTTTGAAGGACTGGAGGGACATTGGATATTGGCAGGGGGAGAGAGAGAAACGGGAGACGAAGAGAGCAAAACGGCCGCAGAGAGAGAGTCGGTGGGGTGGGCAGGGGAAAGTGCTTTTTTTTTTTTTTTTTCCCCTTTCAGAAGACGGACTATTCACCCGATTCAATTCGAATCAGGATAAACCTAATTCCCAAATTGACCAAATCGCAATTCCTTCTGCTAAACTCGGAATTCAGATCCTAGTGACCCGACCCGACCCGACGTGCTCTACTCGCGATGAAGATGAAAGCTCTAGTTAACCAAAATTGTAAATTACATCGAATTATACTCCATTTTTTAAGTTTTTGATAACGATAATGAAAATTGATATTTTCAATTAAAATAAATAAGGTTACGATAGGAAGATTAAATTTGCAAACTAAATGATGTGTCACTAGTAATAATGAACACGTTTATCAATATTTAAGTAATAATCAAATTATCGTTTATCAATATTTAAGGGGAATTGTTATTAGCACCCCAAAAATCTCATTCTACACTCCAAACTTTCTATATTGGGAAAGAAAAATAAGCTTGTGAAGAGTGTAGAATAAGATTTTTGGAGTGCCAATAACACTTCCCTATTTAAGTAATAATCAAATTATCAATTTTCATATCATTCAGTTTACAAAATTTTGCCTATAAATTTAATCTTTTTAACATTATCCAAATAAAAATGAGAATTGCCACCATCTACACTTCCAAGCTCATCTCCTTCTCATTAATTCTACTGCACTTCTTCGGCATTGTCACATTCCTCCTATTTAAGTAATAATTAAATTATCAATTTCCATATTATTTAGCTTACAAAATTTTGTCTATAAATTTAATATTTTTAGTATTATCCAAATAAAAATGAGAATTGCCACCATGTACACCTCCAAGCTCATCTCCTTCTCATTAATTCTACTGCGCTTCTTCGGCATTGTCACATTCCTCCTCTTGTTGGTCATTCATGTCTACATCATTGCGTTCTGGCACTTAATCTGCGTGGTCTCCATGCTCAAGCCTGTATACGGGTTCACCTTCATGAAGAGGAGCTATGAGGTGTTCAAGAAGAGGGTTGGGATGGCCTTTGTGTTCGTTTTCGAGTACTTGACCATTTATAGAGTTGTTGAAGTGCCATTTTCGGGTCAGCGGTGCACGACAGGGGGTTTTTGTGAGGATGTAGTTGTTGATTGTAAAGTTGGTTGGATTGTTGCATAGTGTGTTTTACCACGTCTGCAAAGATAGAGATTAATTCTTCAAAATAACAAAATTTAGAACTTGTTTGGATGTACTTTTAAAATTCGGGTTGGTGGTGCACGACAGGGGGTTTTTGTGAGGATTGTAGTTGTTGATTGTAAAGTTGGTTGGATTGTTGCATAGTGTGTTTTACCACGTCCGCAAGAGATGGAGATTAATTCTTCAAAATAACCAAAATTTAGAACTTATTTGGATGTACTTTTAAAATGATTGAAAACATTTTTAGTGAAAATATTTTTAAAACCAATCTTTAGTATGTCATATCCTCAATTGTTGGATTATTATAATGGTTGAAATTTAGCAAAATGTAAGTATACGCGCGAAGCCTAAATGTAGAGACTCAGATTCTTGGCATGCATATAAATGCCAAATTGAATTCTAAACTTACACTATTTTAACTTCTAACATACTCTTGTTTAATTTTATTTGTTATTTTCATTTTTTTAATTCAATATGATAGCCCAAAAAAAGAAGGGCGTGTTAAAAAAAATGTGTGAAACTCATCTCTTTTAGGAAAATGGTTTAACTTTTGCTGTTTGCTTTTATTATATTTATGCAATCAATGAAAATGTATTTTATCAAAGGTTTTTTTTTTTTTTTTTTTTTTTTTTTTTTTTAAAAGGTGGATAGCATTTTAGTTTCATTTTAAAATTTACATGTTTTATTGAAGAAAAACAATTTTATATCTTAAAATGTTTCAATAAAAATGTCATGTTTATAGTGATGGCCACTTAGCAGTAATGATAACTTTTTAAAATTTGGTTGCAGAAATTATCATTTTTAAATAAAAATTTTATACGTATTGATCATACAACGACACAAAAATAACATAACAAAAACACAACAGACATAACAGCACCTAATAATTTTGAAAAAGAAAAGTAGGATCACATAGTCAAAAACAAGAAATTTAAGAGAGGTATTACTGACAGAAATTTTATACGCTGGAATATTAAATTCAAGAGAATTACAAACAAATTTTTTCCTCAAATAACAAAGTTACCCAGAACCAAAGTACTCGCACCAATACTAATTATAAATATGGAAACCATTAACGCAGCGTCTGATCCTGGTGCTGAGTTATCCTGCGGAGGCTGTACTGGTGCATATGGATCCCAATCCGCCGGACACGGCGAGACAGTAAGCGGAGGCTGTAATGGTGACGGGGAAGGAGAATATCCGTATGGTGTTGGGTTTTGTTTCTGACGGCCAAAGCCACTACTATGAGCTTCTGACCCTTTTGGCAATTTTCAGCATTGCGGCTGATGAAGAAAAATGGACCTGATCGGTCGAACTTGAAGATTGAGTCCCCATCTGTTAAAGACTGTTTTGGAGTTTTTGTGTTGCATGAGTCGTGATCCTCTTTTGCCACCACCAACACAGAATTTGACCCTTTTTTGCACTTGAAACAGCATATATGTATCCACCAAAACAAAAGATAAAAAGCTCAATTATATATACATATATGCTGTGTGTGTATATTTTTACGTAATTCTTAACCAAACCATTAGTGTTGGTATGTCGGATAACAAGTTAATAGAATTGTGATTAATTCTGACTTAGTAAGGTTTAATAATACTGAACTAATGGAGGGAATTATTAGAGCTCAAAATTTGAAATAGATGAGTTGGTTACAAACTCTAATAAACTGATAATGACTGACAACCCTAATACGTGGGTTGGTCTCTGTTCTCAGTATTATTGTTCAAAAAACACACAATTTCTATTGAAAATGAGAGCAGTTCTGAATACAAAAGAAAAGAAGATCAATTCCCATCGACATCCATGATGTCTCCTCCGGCGAGTAACTTTAGGGTTTACTGCATTTGTAGTTTTGATTTAATTGATTAGATCTTGGATATAAAGTCCTACATGTTGACAAATCTATGATAACATTAAGAGAGAGAGGCTCACAAAGTGTATCATTGACTTGAAATCTATGCCTTTCCGCCCAGTGATTGAAGCTCTCGCAAGGGTTTAAAACCCAACCATCTTTGCCACCCACAGGGAACTTGTTGTCAACAGTATTACTATATGTATTGCAGAGAAACCATGAAAGGAAAAAGTATCAAAGAGAGAGAGAGAACAAATTTAGAGAGAGAAAGAGGAGGGAGAATATCAGCTTTTTCATTACATTCAATTGTGGCCAACTTGTCTTATAAATACCACACACTCATAACTAACTCCAAGAGCCACCAATACATTTGTGACACATGACTATAACCTCCACACATTTATATCATACACTTATATTCTAACATTCCCCCTTAATCTTATGGGAGGTACTACCAAGCATAAGATTGAAACAATGAGAACTAAACAAAGGAAAACACAAGCCCTTGGTAAAAATATCAACATGCTGATCTGCAAAATTGACAAACTGCAACGAGCCTTGCTGAACACGTTCACGGACGAAATGACAATCAATTTCTATATGTTTAGCTTTGGAATGTAAGACAAGATTCGTAGCCAATGCCATGGCAGAGATGTTGTCACAGCGAAAAAGAGGAATATCATTACAAGGAAGATGTAAATCCTTGAGCAACTGTTGTAACCAATCCACCTCTGCAGTGGTGGTTGCCATAGCACGATATTCAGTTTCTGTGGAGGATCTACTAACAGTCTGCTGTTTCTTAGAGCTCCATGAGATATGATTACACCCCAAAAACACTACAAAACCTGTGGTGGATCTCCTGTCATTGGGATCACCCGCCCAATCAACATCCGTGTAGGCTTTAATATCCAACATACCAGGTTTAAAACATAAACCAAGAGACATGGAACCTCTAAGATATCACAAAATTCGTTTGACAACAACAAAATGACTCTCTAGAGGTGAGTGCATGAACTGGCAAACTTGATTGACTGAATAAGCAATATCCGATCGTGTAAATGTCAAATACTGAAATGCCCCAACAATACTTCTATAAAGCCCAGGATCATGAAACGGAGAACTTCCATGATTGAGTAATTTTTGGTTTGGATGACAAGGAGTAGTACAAGGCTTGCTATCCAACATATTGGTCTTCTTGAGTAAATCAGAAACATATTTGGATTGATGCACAATTAAACCATGAGGTTGATATTCAATTTGAAGACCAAGGAAATAATGGAGAAGTTCTAAATCCGTTATATCAAATTCACTAGTTAACTGATTAATCACAGCTTGAACTTTAGTCTCATTATCACCATTGAGTATTATATCATCAACATACAATAATAAGACAACCATAGATTGTCCATCATGCTTCACATATAAAGAAGGATCAACATATGAAGGCTTGAAACCTAAGGTAAGAAGAAACCTGGTAAAACGTTCATTCCAAGCTCGAGGGGCTTGTTTAAGGCCATAGAGAGATCTTTCCAATTTGCACACAAACTCAGGGTGATCCGGATCAATAAAGCCTTGGGGCTGACACTTATACACCTCTTCATCAAGAAACCCATGCAGAAAAGCGTTTTTAACATCAAGCTGTTTTAATCTCCATCCTTTAGTTGCAACTAAAGATAACATGAGCCTTACTATGGTTGGCTTAACCACATGGCTAAAAGTTTCATAATAATCAAGGCCTGCTTCTTGGGAAAAACCTTTGCCCACTAACCTGGCCTTGTATCGAGCAACTGTGCCATCTGGATTATTTTTGATCTTGTAGATCCATTTACAACCAACCAATTCTTGTTAGTTGGAAGAAGGACCAACTGCCATGTTTTCTGTTTAACTAAGGCTGCCATTTCCTCTTCCATGGCATTACTCCACTCAATAAACTTCGCAGCAGCTGTGAAAGATTATGGTTCGTTGACCAAAGAAGAATGAACCTGAGCAAGAAAAACCTTTTTCTTGAAAATGCCAAACTTTGACCTGGTTTGCGTCAGATGTGTATTAATTTGAGAAACTGAAACATGTTGCAGTTTTGGGACTTGAGAATCGATGACATCATGATGAATGTCTGATTATTCCATTGATTATGGAAATGTGTCCATAGATGGAGAACTGGGAGTAG